TTTTAATGTATATGGGTGTTTTATCTGTTTCTGCATGGTGTGTGCATTGCCGGTGGAGGCCAAGAGAGGACAGTGAGTCCCTGGGGACAGGAGTTACAGATGACTACTAGTTGGCATGCGGGTACTGGGAACTGAACCTGGGTACTCTGCAAAAGCAGTTAGAGCTCTTAACCACTGAACCATTTCTCTAATCCCTATATTCAGTATTTCTTAAAGGCTTTAACAATGTCTGCCCCATAGGCATGAGATACATTTTTAATTTCATAAATTCATTCTGTAAATGCCTAAGATGCATAAATGAAACAAAGACTTCCTTAATTGGGACCAAACACAGGAGAATGTTACAAAAACTTCAACTCTACCCACCAAGTCACTAGTGTCTAAACCCAGTGAGCATCTGAATAAGCAGTGAAGCTTGTTGCAATGAAGCATCTCCCAGAAAACTAAACGCACGCGCTCACTCTTTTGTGATTAAGTTTGGGAATCTTTATCACTGGATCAAATATCAAATAAAAGGTGGAAGAAAACAGACCTTGACTAATGTTAAGTAAAACAATGCAGCTATTGAATCATAAGAGTTGAAATATCTAAATCTGAGTACAGGCAATGATATTTAGGAATAAGAGAAATTTAGGAAAAATAACTTTTGTTTATACTCAAACATTCTCGTTTTTAAAATAGTAAGTCCATATGAGGCAGCCGACACAGCTTAAAGTGTCTAACAGACAATTCACTTTCTTATTTCTCCAGTTCCCCTGGCACCAGACTCCCTAATGACTGAAATCCTTCATCTCTACTGCTGAAATAGAAGAATCCAGTAACATTCAGAGTGACAAGTGAGTTACATTTCAGGCCTGTGTACACTTGCCTTTTGTTCACTTGGTAGTGACAGATATTTGCATTTTTATAAAAATCAAGGTCAGGAAAAATGGAAGAGATAAAGATTAGCTTTCAAGAGTAGAATACATACACACAAGCCATGAACTCTTACATCCCAGCTATCACTCAGCAAAATACTGGTCCTTAAAATCAGTAGACAGAGAACTGTATGGTTATGAGTTTCATGTCCACAGTTAACTGCTGCACAATGCTTCCAACTGTTCTTTATTCTTCAAATTTTGAAATAAGTCTATGACCATTCCATCTTGAATACATCAGATCTCTCCAGAAAAAAATAATTAGACCTACTGATAGAATTGCTTTTGAGAAATGTGAAAAAAAAAATTCAGAGACACAAAGATGAAGCAGTATCTCAGAATTTTTCCTTCAGCCTTTAGCATACGGCATATAATCCCTTTTTAAAATATACCTATGGCATTATCTCACCTGCCTCTAGAAAAATCTATCATGAAAGAATGGGTATTATTTAGAGTTCATACAGAAAAAGGCTGATATTAGAACATTTGAATGATCTGTAATATTTACACAACTTACTGGATGCACAACTTGAAATGAATTATAAATTTACTGATGATGTTAGGTACTAGGCACTTTAATTAGGCAGTGAAGATAAAGACCTCACAGTTTAGAAATTATGAAAGATCTGAAATCTAAGTGCAGTTTAAGCAGTCGAAAGAAGAAAACTAACAAACACCAAAACCAAAACCAAAATAGGTATTAGATATTCTGGGTCAGGGCTTGTAACACCATGCCTGGGGCTTAAGGAAAGTTCTCCCTGCATGAGACTCTTTCTGAACAGACTACCAGAGAATGACATATAGTTAGTAGAGAAGGGGAAGAAATTAATTTAGGCAGAGGGAACACAGACAGAAAGAATCTGTTTGGGAAACAAATTAATTTGGAATTTCTGGAGCAAGATAAAAACGCACAGTGATAAAGGGTAGGATTCAATGACCTAACAAACAGGAAGTTGTATGTCGGAGTAGAAAGGCTATACTCAAGTTCTACAATTAGGAAATTAATTCATAACATATCATTTCTGGAACAAAGTAGACAAGGATTTGAAAAACAAGGTATTAGAATGCAAGATGGTAAGGACCAAAGCAAGTAAGAGAACACAGAAGCAGGAAGGAAAACTCAGGGCCATTTCCTCAGGAAAATGTCGCCTAGGCTATAAATGATGGGCAGGAAGATAGTTACGTTTATTTAAAGCCCTAATGTATTCCTTGAAAGAATAATGAGACACTTATTGCTGGGTTTTGAAACTGTCTAAGCTAACTTTAATGTGGAACCTTATAATACAGCACAGTGAGTGAGTACCTTAATCGTATGACTTCCTTCTGGTCTCTGATAAAGTTTTATTCCTCTTTTCTTCTGCAGCCAAGCCAAATCCTGTAACATGTCACTACTGAAGGACGATTCCACTCGAAGACCCTTGCTGCAAACATCAGCCGATTCTTTGCATACACTTTCTTGCTTCTCTGCATCTTTACATTCTGAATGGACATAGATCAGGAACTGATTGCTTGACTCTGAACTCATCAATGCAAAACTCCTTTCAGAAAAATGTTCAACTAAACTCTCTTCAGGGAGAAGCTGAAGAGCAAAATCTCCCAGAAATGCTTTCCAAGAATGATCGACATGATAGGGAGAAATTATAACATTCAACTTTACAGACAAAGGGGTCTCTTTTTCAGTGGATTCTAAGGTGCTCACAGCCTCTGAACGCCTCTTCTTATCCCTGTGAACTACATCTTCAGGAGGGTCATCATCTATGAGGATGCAATCAGAGGAAGAGTCTGCACCGGAGCAGGGCTGCTCAATGGTCAAGGTGAGAGGTTCATTCCTCAGGTCTTCATGCATGTTCCAGTGCAGCTGCTGCTGCCTTTCCTCATCGACCTTCACTGGGGGAGCGCGTTTCCTTCGGCTGCTCATCTTCACACTTTCTTGGTTATTTAATATGAATTCTAAAAGAAAGATATATAGAAAACAAGGGGTAAATTTCTAAAAAGCCTTAAGCCAAATAATTTGGTTATAAAAGCTCCCCAGAGACTTCCGTTTTAGAACTGATCCCTGGCTGGTGGTACTGCTTTGGGAGGTTCTGGAAACTTTAGATGGGGCCAAGGCGTAGGGAGTGTGACGCTGGTTACTGAGACTGGAGGACCACTCTTGTTTCCTGTCCTGTCTGTTTTCTTACCTATCAAGATGTGAACAAGCTACCTTACTACCCTGTGGTCACCAGGCCGGACTCACCCTCACTGTGTCTCCTATCATGACGAACTGTTCTCTCAACTCCCTGTAGCTTTTTTCTTCTCTGGTATTTGGTCACCTCAAGGAGAAAACTAATATGTAAGGAACACATTAACCATGATCTCACGTATCCATTAGGTTTCACTCATCTTTACTGGAAAAATTTCATTGAGACAATCAACTAACTGTACAAAAGAAAACAAATGATAAAACTACATTCGATGGGCGAAAACTAAGAAGACAACCCCCTCACACAGCCGGAAATAAAAGCTTGTTTCAAATGTGAGTTGTATTTAAACGCACACCACTACTGAATAAGTCCAGTGTGCTTTACAATCCTTAAGCATCAAACCTCGAACGACCCCTATATAGTTTAAAATCCCTTCGAAACATCCTCTTTTTCAAAGAGAAACAATAACACACAATGGTGTTTTGGATCAACAGACAAGAAGAATAAGAGAGGCTCCTTAGACAAAGAACGAGGTGGCGACAGCAATCATGGGACGTGAGCCAACCCAAGCGCAAAGAAGACAAAGACAAACGTGTAGTAGAGAAAGTTACAAAGACTGCTCAAGATAAATTCAAGCCATCTGGAGTAAAAGGCACCGAGTAGAAATGGCCAGTGGTGAACAGTGCTGCATGCACCTCAGACAGGGTACCTCTGGCCATGAATCCACACCTCCTCATGAACCAGCGCTACTTCAGAGTCGAAAGGCACAGCGTGCACAGGTGCCAGGGTGGTTTGGAAAGCGAGGGCAACTGAGCACTGGGAGCCTAACTTGCACGTCTCTGCACCTCTTTCAGGCACCTGCAGCCACAAGCACCATCAGCCCCTAGGGCACGTCCAAGGCACAGCACGGTCCCCCTCGGTCACCCTCCTGAAAGGAGCCCGCTGCCAGCACCGGCGGCTCAAGCTCCCGTAGGGACGGCTCGAGACCGGGCCTCGGGCACGCGGGTGTGGGCAGCAAGCCCCCGTCCCACGCGAGGCGGGCACGGCCCACGCTCGGGCTGGGGACCAGTCCGGGGAACTCGCAAGGCCGGTCGCCTCCGATCCTGGAACACCACCGGAGCTCTGAGCATTTCCCGGTGACCCAGAGCCAACCTCCCTCCGCGACCTCTAACCTCTGACCCCACAGCCGCCCTGGCCTACCTCAGCCGGTACCCCAGCGCCAGCCCCTAGGCCTGGCCTTCCTCAAACACTGCAGACCCCAGGTCGACATCCGCCACACACACACCTGCTGGAGCCGCGCACGCGCGCCGAGCGCTGGGTGGAGACCGGCGCCCAGGCCGGAAACCGCAGGGTAGAAGTGTCGGGCCCAAATAAACGCGCCGGACCGGACGCGACACAGCGGGACGCCCCGCCCCTTCTCCCACGCTGGCTTCAAAGGGCGCTACTGCGCAAGTCCCGTCCCTGAAGCCCCTGTGGGAAGACCTTTGAAGTCTCGCGATGTTTGTTCCCATCTCTTTCCCCGGCGTACCATGCTATTAGTAACGCAGAATGGGCGGGGACCCAAGTAGGGGGCGGGGCTCCAGCCCCAGAGAGGGCGGGGCTCCTTCCCAGAGCGGGCCAGATGAGTTGTGGGGTTAATAAAAAAAAAACAGAAAACTTACGTAAAACTAAATTCACGATGTCAGACAGTTACAATACCCAAACAATCTACACAATAGGGATAAAACTACTAAGCCAAAAGAATTTGATTTAACAAGAAAACAAAACGTAGAGATGTCTCCAGAAACATCATAAAATAGGCTAATAATAAGGCCCGATCGAATTGAAATTCTTGCCAAGAAAAACGCTATGCTGTTTAAACAGCGTAAGAAAAATGGAACGTCCTGTGCTGAAGCTGCCTTCTCAGTCTTTTTTTCAGAAGGGAGAATTGTACCTCCAGTAGACACAAACAAAATTCTCCCTTCTGAATGTATCAGTAGTGTGTTAGCTTTGTATATCCTTTGAAATTTTTCTCCGTGAGTTAAGGTTTTTGTTTGGCGTGGGGTTGGTTATTTTTTGTTTTGTTTTGTTTTTTCTTTCAGTTTTGTAATCACCAGAGCTAATTCCAGGAGGAAAAAAAAAAGATTATTTGGCTTTCTGGAAGTCCCCTGCTGTGAGACAACTGTTCATAAAACACTGGGTGCTAACAGCTAGTAGATGGTAAGTAATCTAATGACAATAAGGACCAGAGAATCAACTTACACCTATCTGACCAGTGAATCCCCAGTTTAGCTGGGAATTAGTTAAAACAACTACTTTGTTTTGAAACAATCTAAGTATATTGCATCATGTCTAGTCTATGTTTAGATTCAGCCCATTACAATAAGGTAAATATTGCAATAAAGAGTGTCTCATGAATTTTTCTGCTTTCCCAATGTATATAAAAATTTGTGTTTATTTTATGCTGTGGTCCAGTAAGTATACAATAACATGTGTAAATATAGTATAAATATCAAAATTTAAAAATGTTTTACTCCTAAAAATGCTAGTGACCATCTGAATTTTCAGCACATAATATTTTTCCTGATGTAGGATTTTCTTGAAGCTGCTTACTGCTGACTCAAGTTGGTGATTGGTAGGAATTGAGGAGAAAATAGAAATTTATTAAAATAAGAAATAAATTCATAGTGGCACAGAAAGAGACTGCCACTCTGACTGAATAGGACAAAACTCTGAGCCGTCTGATATGAGTGCTTATAACTGAACTCAGGTCTTGCCTAAGAACAGAATGTACTCAACACCTGAGCTATCTCTCCAGCATCCCAAAATGCTGAAACCCTGATGGTGTGTTGGCTGGCATAAAAAGCATATCAATTTCAGTATCTATCTATCTATCTATCTATCTAATTTTTAAAAAAATTTCTGAGCAGTGTATCTCAACAATGAGCTTAAAAATTCAGTAAAAATATTTAGTAAGCAGATAATCTGCCATCCATCCGGCTTTAAATACAATTCTTTTTTATCTTTTTGGCTTTTCGAGACAGGGTTTTTCTGTGGTTTTGGAGCCTGTCCTGGAACTAACTCTTGTAGACCAGGCTGGTCTCGAACTCACAGAGATCCGCCTGCCTCTGCCTCCCGAGTGCTGGGATTAAAGGTGTGCGCCACCACTGCCCGGCTTTAAATACAATTCTTAAGAGTCATGGGACTTTTAGAACAATGAATGAGCACCAACTCCAACCTAACATCACCAGCTGAATTGTCGCCCTGAAAAGAAAGTCTCCTGCAGTTAACCTTTGAAGCCACTCACTAATTCCTCTTTACCTATGGAAGTTCTAGGAGGCACGTTTTTTCACCAGAGATCTGTTTAGTCCACACTGCTTGGCATTTCCACCCCATCAATAATCTTAGTTACATTTTTTTTCTCGATGAATCTCTACATTTCTTCTCTATTGTCTGATGCTTTGATTTACACTTTTGTGTCATAAGGATTCCTCTTCCCCCCTAAGCTTCAAGAACAAACTGCAAGCTTCAGACTCCTTATCTCTCAGCCTTTACAGAGCAGAAATGAGTCACAGCTTTGCATTAGGCTTCGGCTAATGAAAATGTGGTTAGTTTGATCTGTCAGATTTCTGTATCAGCAATGAAGTTACTTCTCTTTATTAGAGTTCTTGTGATTACGGAAATAATTAATTTTTTGAAGTTTTGGTCATCAAATACCCTCGCAATTTCCTTCAAGAATTTTTTCCTTTACATTCATAATTTGTTGCAAGAGGCCTAGCTTGCAGCCTATCGTAAGTTAAACTTTTATTTTGAGCTTTTAATTGAAAGTGAGAGACATGTGACATGGTTTCTAGTTATCCTAATCTCAGGATTGTTGTTTCAAATGATGAAGTGGTTCAAGGAGAGGGAGAGAGATGGGGAAATATTTGATTGGTGATGTAGTTAGATCACATACTTACATTAAAGTCACTTTTATGTATAAAGAGAGTGTGTGGTGTCTCAAAACAATTACCACACGAACATAAACTATCATCAAACACAGAGTATCGTAACAAATGAGGATAATAAAGTTTGAAATGGCATGGCGATGACAAATATTTGTATTTGACATGGATACAAAGCGGACAATGAGGACTACTGAGAAGTCAAGAACAATGGCAATGGGTTTTTTATCCTACTGCATGTACTGTGTGGGAGCCTAGGCAGTTTGGATGCTCACCTTACTAGACCTGGATGGAGGTGGGTGGTCCTTGGACTTCCCACAGGGCAGGGAACCCTGATTGCTCTTTGGGCTGATGAGGGAGGGGGACTTGACCAGGAGAGGGGGAGGGAAATGGGAGGCGGTGGCGGGGAGGAGGCAGAAATCTTTAATAAATAATTAATAAATTAATAAATAAAAAAAACAAAGTGCCAATATACTGTTGGGAAAATAGCAGCAGTAGACTTGCTGAATGCAAGATTGCCACAGATCTTCCATTTGTAAACAAATACCATAATAGTGGAGTAAAATGAGGTACGCCTCCGCCTGTAAATGTGAAGGCAGTCAGACCATATTCCCCCATTTCCTCTCCATGGCTGAAGTAGGGACAAATCCATTTCCTTTTGAGGATGCTAAGCTGTATGCATTCTCTTGGTAGTGCTACCTCTGGACATCTTTTCTTTTGCAAATGAATGATTTAAGTTGTTCTCAGAGACAAGCTCAATATTTGAAAGTAAAACTCTTTAAAAGGAAGTTATGTAAATATACACAATTTATCTCCCTTTGGGGCCAGGAATAGAATAGTTTCCAGTACATATGGACAGCTTTTGATTCTGCAAAGATCTTTCATGTTGATTTTTCTATGAATTTACCGGTAATATGAACTATAGTTCACTTTTCACTGCACCGAAGAACTATCTGAAATTGATTTCCCATAATTTAGCTCTATGAACAAGAATCTAGACAAGTAGTTCTCAACCTTCCTCATGCTGCGACAGTTTAATACAGTTAATATTGTGGTGACCCCCAACTATAAAATTGTTTCATTGCTACTTCATAACTGTAATTATACTATTGCTATGAATAGTAATGTAAATATCTAATATGCAGGATATCTGATATGTGATCCCTGGGAAAGGATCATTCAACTCCCAAAGGGGTCACAAGCCACAGGTTGAGAATCATTAATCTAGAGCATTTCTTGACTCCCCTGCATAAGCCTTATTACGGAACCATGTGGTTTACTACTGTTAAACTTATCCATTACTCTTCATAGGTTAGTTTGGGCAAAATGGAGGCATGAGACATGTAATTCTTTGGTGACTCGGAGTTATGTATTTCAGCAAGAATAACACTAGACCAAGTTCTCCTTCCTTCTCGACAAAAAGAATGTTAGAAAAATTTATTCCACATTCTCTCCATTTCTTATTCTCTAGGGGTGTCGTAGGAGGCTGCCCAACATGGTTGACAGTTGACAAAGAGGACTCCTTGTTGCCAATTTTCCTACTACCAACTTAGAACTGCTTTTCGTTTTCCCTCTTTTCCTCCCTCCCTCTTTCCTTCCCTCCCTCCCTCCTTCCTCTTCCTTCCTTCCTTTCTTTTTTTCTTTTTAAAGACAAAATCTCACCATGAAACTCAGACTAGACTAGAACTCATGGCCCTCCTACCAAAAACAAACAGCAAGACAAAACAGAAACCACCAAAACGACAAAAACTCTCACCCAATTTTAAATATGCCTAAGATAGATTTTATGAAAGAGGCTGTATAATTAGAAAATAGATTATTAAATACAGTATATTAAAAATGAAAACATCAGCAAAAATACTTTAGGGGCACGAGCAATGACTCAGCAGTTAAAAGCATGAACTTCTCTTGTATAGGACCCCTGGTTCCATTCCAAGCACCCACACTGAGTGGCTCACAGATTCCTATAACTCTTGCATAGGGGATCTGATGTTTCTAGGTTCTGTGGGTGCAACACTTACATGCACAAATCCATACTCAGACACATATGCATACAAAAAAATTAAAAATTAAAAGCAATAACTGGCTATCATCACTAATCATTAAGTAAATAAAAACCAAACCCTCAATGAGATAAATAGGTTATAAATAGAAAAGTGACAACTTCTTAAAAATTTAAAATTTAGTAAGTACTCTTGAGGATGTGAGGGAAAAAGAATAACTTGTATCAAATTCAAGGGAATGTAAATCAGTTCCATCAATATTTTAAAAGGTATTAAAAATATGATAAACATGTGACCCAGCAGTACCACTATGCAACATATACCGTGTACTGAAAATCAATTTGGTATGTTGATAAGATGTCTGTACTCCTATGTTCATGGCAGCATGATGCAAAAAAGTCAAAAGTTGGGAATAATATGGGTGCCATGAGTCAATGAATAAATAAAGCAGAATTACACTAAAATAATATTCAGGCATAAAGAGAAAAGCTCCGTCATCTACAATAGAATGGACAGAACCAGAGACCATTGTTAAACGTACTAAGTTGGGAACAGGATGACAAGCATTGCATGGTATCACTAACATGTCAAATAGAATATAAAAGTTTGATTTCATAGAATATAAGAGTAAAGCAGTACTTCTTAGAGTCCAGGAAAAGTGAGAGAAAATGAGACTGAGGAGCAGTGAACTGATGGGTGCTAAGTTATCTTGAGATAAGTACAGAAATCTCAGGTGTGCTATTGCATAGAAAGGCAACAACAGATCTTCAGATAATGATAAGGTTTTATATATGTGAAGGTCCTGGAAGAAAGGGGTTTTAATGTTCTTACTATAAAGCAATAATAAATGTTTAAAGAACTAGATAGTTAACCTGAGTTAAACATTATACAATGTAAACTTAAATGGAAACATTACCCATGCATATGTATTATTAAAAAATAAAGTATAAAACATAGTCACCTTGGTACAGTAACATTTAGCATGATGGTGACCTGAGGCACCAATCAATAGCTATTTCTGAAGATTGGCAGAAGTGTCCCACTGCTAGCTGAACATGTGAAGAACAGCTGTGTTCTCTGAGTATACCAGGACTCATATGTGGGGTCACATCATGATTCTGTAACTGTTTGCACACAGGGTACAAAGCTCTACCTTCACACCTCATAGATTCTTTCACAGCAGAGGTCTACGTCTCACAGGGCAGAGTGAAGCTAGTGTGTTCTAGCACCTTGCTATTTATTGATTGATAGTGATGAAATAAAAATAAATCAACCATCCAATTATCCAAGGTAACTCTACTGAAAATAATTCAGAGACAAATGCTAGGAATCACTTGGGCAGATAATTTCCTATTTATATTCGAATTGATTCTGGAATGGCTAAAAAAAGCAAGCTTGTTGCTATGGTTTGCATCTTAAATATTTGCCTAAGGCCTGTGTGTTAAAGGCTTGATCCTCAGTTGCTGCTATTGGGAGGTGGTAGAAGCCTCAGAAGGTATGGTCTACTGAGAAGAAGTTGGGTCATTGGAGACATGCCTTTGAAAGGGATTTTGGAATCCCAACTCCTTTCTGTTTGCTTCCTGGTGACTGTGCTGGTGAGCAGGCAACTTCTACAATACCCTTGGGCGGTGTTTTATTGTGTAAACCCAAGGCAACAAGGTCTTAGGTCTATGTGCCAAAACCTCTGGAGTTGTGAGTCAAAATATGCCCTTTCCCTTTCTAATTTTTCTCAGCTACAGTCTTATGAAGCCTACCAACACACTTTCATAAGTCAAATCTTTATTTCCTTTTTTTTTTTTTTTTTGGTTTTTGGAGACAGAGTTTCTCTGTGGCTTTGGAGCCTGTCCTGGAACTAGCTCTGTAGACCAGGCTGGTCTCGAACTCACAGAGATCCGCCTGCCTCTGCCTCCCGAGTGCTGGGATTAAAGGCGTGCGCCACCATTGCCCCGCTTCAAATCTTTATTTCCAATAGCCACAAAGTTATAAATGAGGGCTCCATTCCTTAAAATTAGTATATACTCTTGACATGCCAAAATTAGTACAAAATTACATGGAAAGTAAAATATAGTTAAATTTCCATTACTGCGATAAAACACCATAACCAAAAACCACTTGAGAGCATTTATTCTGACTTACGGTTGCAGGTGTCAAGAATCCTTCATGGTGGAAAAGGCATAGCCCCCCGGGGTCCAGGAGCAGGAAACTGGCTGATCACTTTTCATCCATACTCATGAAGTGGAGACTGGGCAGGTAATAGGGCAAGGCTATAAAGCCTTGAAGTCCTCACACAGTGATTTACTTCCTTCAGCAAGGCTCTGCCTCCTAAAGTCCCATGACCTCCTCAAACAGCGCCACCAGCTGGGGACCAGGTGTTGAAGTATATGATCCTCTGGGGGGAACATTTGTTGTTTAAACCACCATACACAATATACTTTATAAACTTTTTTTAGTATAGTAAGAAAAGTTATTTTTCAGAATTGACTTAAAGGCCCAAAGTATCTGGACTGGTTAAAAAAAAAAAGAAGTGTTTCTGCTTTGATAGTTTTCCTTAAAATGACAACCTTCTTTAACAACAACAACAAAACCACAAAAAACAAACAAACAAAAACAAATTCTTCCAAATAAATCACTAGAAGATACAGCAACGTCTAATGAACGAAAGCATTAAAGTCACTTTCAATTGCCCAAAGCTTCTGGACGATAACAAGTGTTAAGTGCTAAAGAAAGAGTGGCTACATCCTGGGTGTCATAAGGCAATGATTTCCTAAGACAAATGCAGTAATACGGGGTTGCTGAATCTATTGGACACTGGTGGCCCTTGGTTCCATTGGTTGTTAACTGTGAAACAGTGATGAACTTTGTTTCAGGGAGGGTGGAGGGGATAGTAGAAAGAAAGTTCCACATGTGGCCTGTGCTGCTGAGTTCTACACTGGCAAACCCTGCACAGGCACAGCAGAAAAAGGTCAGCTACATAAGCAGTGACTGTGATCCCAGTGTCTTTCCTTTATTATCCCAACAAGAACTGGACTTAAGTCCTGCTCTGCACAAATCATTTACTCTCACAATGACTTTTTTTCTTCTAAAAAATGAGGTTAGTAATATCCTGTCTACACACACCACAGAGATTCTGTACTATTTATATGATATCACCACCCTCACTACAAGGTAGAATATTTTTTAATGTGTTCAGACATAAATGCATAAAATATGGAGTTCATATGGAAATTCCTAGGAAAGGATAGTGCATAATGCGTCTGAATTTTAATTTGCTTTAAAGCTTTCGTCATGTGTAAATAGAGCTATTAAGGAATTTTCCACTCTCTCACCTACCAACAGTCACAGAGGAAATATTCTCGGCTGCATCATTCTTGCAATTATAAACTTGTCAACTGTCTCACTACCCATATCTACAAAACAGGGAAAAATACGCATTTCTGAAGCGATCTTTCTACTATAGGGAAGAAAAAATAGTCAAGAAAAAAAAAACCCAAGCAATTAATTTCCCAATGAGTTCAACTATGGCAAATAAGGGCAGATACCAGTAAAACTATGTTGAACTGGGCATGTAGTGTAGTCAGAGAGAGGTAGCCTGGCACAACTGATGGGATCTGGCTCCCTGGAGGGATCAGGCAGGGTGACCCTGTTTCCCAAGTAATCATCATCATCATCATCATCATCTTTAAAAAGGGTTGTTTTCCTGAATTGAGCTCCCCCTTTCTCTGCGGTTTCTGTAAACACAGTGGCTGAAAATGAGTCAAAGAAGTAGAAGTCGAAGCAGCTTCCTCGGCTCTATCATCATTACCACTCTCTTTTCCTTGCAGCTGGATGAGGGAGAGAGAAACAGCCTCTTGTTTAACACATGGACATCTAATTGGAAAAAACATAAATGTTATCAGTCTATAATACATGATGGGTATTTCCTAGCCAAGGGCACATTTCTTAAATTGATAGTGAAATGAATCAGACAAAGAAGTTGGAATCTTCAACCCACTATTTCCTAGTTGTGTGTCCTTAGTCAACACTTTCATCTCTGTGAACCACAGTTTTAAACTAATATTAGCATCCTATGAGTGTCATGACCATATGCACATTCGGTTATAACACAAAGCATACCATTTTTCACACCTGAGACGAAGAGAAGTTCAAAAGAAGCTTTGCCTGGTGATCAGTACTTTTCAAGTTTAGTATTTCTGACATTTAAGGTGAAACAATTGGTTGCAAGGTGTTCCGGATTTACAATACAATTTGGAGCCTCCCTAGCTGCTACTTGTGAAGCACCAGCAGCAAGCCTCGCCCCACAGTCTTGACGATAATCAGTCTCCTCAGGTACTGCCTAGTCTCTGGGGCACAATTTTTACCTCTGTTAGAAAAGTAGGCTGGGGAGATGACTAGGTGAGCAAGAGTGTTTCCTTCATAAGTGTGAAGACTTGAGATCAGATCCATCACGGCAAGTGTCTAAACAAGCTGAGTGTGGCTGTGCATGCCTCGAAGTCCAGCACCAAGGGTGGTAGGGAAGGTGTGTGTGTGACTCGTTGGTGAGCAGAGACAGAACAATTGCTGTGTCTTTCTAGTTACAGCCTAGTCCCAAGTCAACACGCTACAGGATCAGTGAGAAACCCCGTCTCAAAGAATGAATAGGTGGGGAGTGATAGAGGATACTTGATGTCATCCTCTGGCTACCATATGTCCTACATGGATGTATGCATCTGCACACACACACACACACACACACACACACACTCACATCATCATTACCACCATCCCTGTACTCCATCTGTGAAGCATTGCCATCTATCAAATTACGTTATAGACATTAGATTTTTAGTACATATTTATCTTAAGCATTTATATCTATTTAGATTTGTTTGGTTTTTGGTAGATAAATACCAGCAAGACATATGGACTTACAGACTCCCATCCTTGGGTGTAATGTTACATTCAGATCTTTTGGTGCAATGTTTCTCCTAATAATACTAAAATTCATCCAAGTCATACTTACTTTTTGTAAATAGATGGAATTCAGTCAAGTAATGCGCTTGACAAATGAAATCAGTTTATTTAATCTTTTTATGCTGCGTGTGTGTGCTTTCTATGATTCATATTTATTGACTAAATTATATGACAGAGACTGAGATGAATCATTCTCTGTATTTCAGCCAATACCAATAATAATCTGTAGAGTGTGTTAAATTTTTATGTAACTTCATTTCTGTTACATGACCTTACTTGTAGATCTTTTTTCATAAGTTACTGTGTCAACTTGAAGTTTTTACAAAGCTGACAGGTTATTAAAAGTCTCAGATGATTAAAATCAATAGATGTTTTTATTCAGGTTAATTTTCATATTGACAGAGGACTGTATAATAATTAATTCAGAATCAAAAAACTTGGAACATTATAATTTAATTACAAGAACTGTAAGTAGATTTTGTTAACCTAGAACCCAAAAAGAACATAGTGACAACTGATGAGTACTGAAAGGATATGAAAATACCACTGGTAGTTAATATGATTTTTTTTTGATTTTTCGAGACAGGGTTTCTCCTCAGCTTTTGGTTCCTGTCCTGGAACTAGCTCTTGTAGCCCAGGCTGGCCTTGAACTCACAGAGATCCGCCTGCCTCTGCCTCCCGAGTGCTGGGATTAAAGGCGTGCGCCACCACCACTTGGCTAGTATGATTTTTTTTATGTAACAAATCTGATACCATATGGAATAGTATATAAAGCTATAAAAATAGTTATCAAAGTATTTTGTTCTTGCTTGAGTCTCTGATTCAATTCTACAAAACTGATAATAGTTTGTTTACCAGGGTCTTCACTTCCTGACATGTTCAAAGAGCACAGTAAGTACTTGCTGGTTTCTTGCATTGTTCCACTCTTCACATTTGATTCAACCCATCCTGATGCCATATTGACCACAGAATTGTGATCATGACATTTCCTACTTCCTTTCACCACTATGGCTCGTATTCCTCTAGCTCATATCCCCATGAGTGTGCTGCAAAAGTCATGCTGTACCAGGGTCACCCCACACGTTAATATTATCTCTCTGAAAACATTGGATTAAGTTATTTATGGTGCTATACAATAGCTTTCTATGCTTTTCAAAACAAAATCTAAATTTTAGCGTAAGAACTAGGGTTTTAGAATTGGGGCATGGTTGCTCACACCTGTTATTGCAATCCTCAAAACTCTGAAGCAGGAGGATGGCCATTAATTTGATGTCTGGCTGGACTACATAGAGAAACCCTGTTTCAATAACAAAATGACACAGAAAGAAATGTGACTTCTGACCTGTGTTTCTCTTCTCCATCCTTCCTTAGCATTCACTGCAGATTTTGAATTCTGCACTGAGAACATCTGGGCTACATGCAGCTCCTTCATCACCACTTTTTCATTTTCAGGTTGCCAGTACATGTCTCATCTCTCTAGAATAGCGTTCCCAGATCCAATTAGCTCACACATGCTTACTTTCCCAAACCCAAGGAGGTACCACTTTAGAATAGCATATTATGACTTATTCAATGTGAGTCACTATGTGCCTCTTTTGGTCTGAGTACTAGGTCTTGCTGCTTATCATGACATTTTAATACTATGCTGGAATTGGCTGCTACTTATTATCCCCTTTCTTAGTAGGCTATAGTCTCTTTGGGGAAAAGAAATAGGTACTGCCTCTCTTAGTTACTTTTCCATCGTTGTGATAAAGACACTGACTAAGGCAACCTGTAAAGAAAGGGTTTCATTTGGTACACATGGTTCCAGAGGATGAGAGTCCATGACTGTCGGGTACCAGTCTCGACAAAAATACATCTTGACAAGGTAGAGGTGGGGGGATTTAGAAAATAGTAGTAAAGCATATGAAGATGCAAAAGAAAATAATAAAACGGAGAAACATATAGGATAGTATTGGGAGGGAGTTCCAGGGAGTACTGAAATTCACCCGTGTTTATTTCTAACTGCTTAAAATATCCCTGATCCCAAAAGGTAGGAGTACAACAAAAAACTACACTAACATGATACAAGGAAATGAACATACCAATGTCATGGTCATGGGCTACGTTCACAGTTAAACAATTTGTTGCTAGAACAAAACAAGTCACGTACAAACACTAGACTAAAATGTTCTGTAGGCAAACCACCCCCTGTGTAGAATCCAGTGTTATCTCAGTAAAGGAACTGGACCCTTAGTTGGATCCTTAGACTCTTGTTTGAGGTAGGAACATATTTACTTCTCTATTCCTGGAGTACAAGGTCTGGCTATTAGCCACACCTGTTGACAATAACCCTGAGAGAGCAGAACTCTTGGAGACGGGTCTCATGGTGGGACCTTTGTTTGAGATACTAGTACAATAACCTTGAAGGGACTGAAGGTAAGTTCCAACTTTCTGACCTTTGGTCAGTGTGGAAATAGGCTCATATTTTCGGGCCTCCACACATGACCTTCATGTCAGGGAGCTTGGCAGAAGGTAGGCAGGCATGCCTCTAGAGCAGTAGGTAAGAACTGACATATTAACCCACAAGCATGAGCCAAAGAGAGGGGGAGAGAGAGAGAGAGAGAGAGAGAGAGAGAGAGAGAGAGAGAGTTGTGTGGACCTTTGAAACATCAAAGCCCTCCCCCAGTGATATGCCTCCTCCATCAAAGCCAGACCTCTTAATCCTTAACAAGTTCCATCAACTGGGGATCAAGCATCCAAACACAAGAGCCTATGAGGGCTGTTCTCATTTAAACCACCACACTGCCCATCACTTAATTTCTATTAACATAACGAACTGTCTTTGATACATTCACCGCTATTTCAAACTAGAATAGTCAGTGCATAGCAAGGAATTATCAAACTAAAAGTGCCAGCAGGGCAAACATTAAATTCTGTAGCTCTATATCCAGTATGTAGGACTTGTAATCAACTGGACCCCAACAAGCTTGGGTAGCTCCACTACGTGTAGCACCCACAGATTCTCCCTTAGGCAGACTACACATCAATGTGTGCAGTTCTCCTTGGTGGATGTGTTGTGCTGGCATCTCCAATCTTCTGACATCTCCACTGTAACTGAGGCTTCACCTCTACAGTCTCACGCAATGGCCTCTCAAAACTTCTCTGCAGGAATTCCAACCTCAATACTCAGTGCTTGGCCTTCGCCACTCTCCATGACTCCCTCAACCTTGCATCTTTCATACCTGCCAAACCATTGCTACATAAGAACCACAACGTTCCCGAATTCTGTTGCCAGCTTGAATTATAAACCTGGCCCCTTTGTACTACATCTGTGTCAGGTTCTGTGCACTCACCTTGGAGAAACATTCTCAAGCTTTCTTCTTTTAAATTAATTTGGATTCCATATTTGAAGCCTACCAAAGGTGAAGCTTTTGCCCTAAGAGCCTTTCCTTCTTCCCCAATGTAGTGTGGGAGGTCGTTCTACAATCGTGCTGGTCTTTTTATCTGTTAAAGCTGCTTCTTCGGCACAGCCTGAGTATCACACCACTTTGAAATTTCCTCTGTAAAACAAATCTGTTCATTATTTTTAAATTCAGTTTCACTCAGTTTCTCAAGGACATGAGTAGAATGAAGCCATCTTCTTGGCCAAAACATCATGTGACTGACTATTGGCTTAGTTTCTGATAGACTCCTGGTCTATCCCTGAAATCTAGTGAGCCAGGCCTCCACTGTGTTTTTATCAGCATTCTTATCCTTCAAGTAATTCACTAGAACATCCAGTAAAGCTTCTGCTTAGAGAATTCAACAGCCTTCCAAGCTCAGAGTTTTATACCCTTGCACATTCCCCATACAAACAGTTCCAAAGACCTAAAAGCCAGGTGGTCAAAATGATGATAGCAACGACACCACTTCTTGGTATCAGCTTCTGTTTTTCTTTCATTTCTACTACTATGATAAAATACACCAAATACAAAGCAACTTAGGCTAGAGTTTATTTTAGTTTATATTCCAAGATTATGCTCCATCACTAGAGGTAACAGCAATAGGAACTCAAAATAGCTGATCACATTGCATCCACAGTCAAGAAGCAGAATGGAATGAATGAATATACATAGGCTTACACTCTTTCTCTGCTCTTGTATAGTTCATGATCCCCCTGCCTAGGGCCTAAAGCTTCCCATAGTCAAAGGATCTTCCTACTTCCTACTTCTTCCTTTAGACATGTCCACAGGTCAAGGAATAAATATTAATGGTGTTAAAGAGCGTTAAGATTTCAAGAAGCAAAATGCAAACAAAATTCTAAGGCAAGATGTCCTAGTATAGCATTTCCTAGACAATATGAATACTAATAGTTTTTCTGGGGAAAGGGCTAAAAGACTAAGCATGTCTGACAAACAATGAGTGCTATGGTTAATATCGATCAGAACTAGAACCATGTAGGAAATAAATCTCTGGGCACACCTGTAAAGAGCAACAATTATCTCCATTATATTAATGCCTGGACATTATATTAATTAATCTCCATTTTATTATTGTGAAGTATTTTCTTGATTACATCAAGCGAAGTGGGAAGACCCACCCTGAATAGGGGCAGCAAGTCCTGGCAACCTTCACTAGCTGTAAGAATAGCCAAGGGACAAGTTTTTGCTTTCTGTCAACATGGCTCACATCTGACCCTTTTTGTTTACCCTCTTGTTTCCACTGCTGCTGCTGCTTCCTCCACTGGCATCAGGACCCATCTTCTTCATCCTTTTCATGTGAACTGAAGACCAGTGGTTCTCCAGAAATCCTCCAGCACTTCAGGACCAAATCAGGATGGAAGAGACATCTAGCCTCATGGACTGAGAAGCTACTGGTCCTCAGTTTCTCTAGTGGGAAGATAGATATTTTGAAACACCCAGAGGGTATCCTGTGAAAAAAACCTGATAAATCCCCCTTTAATATACATTTATTTTATTGGTTCTGTTTCCCCAGAGAACCTTGACTAATATCATGAGTTAAATAACTGGAAAAAAATTTTAATTTCATGGCTTTTGAAACTTTTTTTTTAAGAAAAAAACACAGATCTTATACTGAGCCTAGCTGATTTGAACTCAAAGCTATCCTCCTGCCTCAGCCTCTTTGGTGCTAGGCTTGTAGGCATGAGCCACAATGGTAGTGTTCAAAAAATAAAATTAAAATGTTATACAAGTAGTTCATGTTGTATTTACTTTCAAAAAATAAAATATGCCTTGGATGCCAACCAAATTCCATTTCCTGAGAGGTGTTTTGCCATTCCAAATCCTGTTGCTATGTTGGAAAAAATATCTTTCTAGATCTTTTTCTATTCATCCAACAACACTTTTGAATACTTGGGCAATTTTTATTGGTTTGTGCCGTAATGACTATGTTGTAATTTGCATTTTTCACTCAATCACTTATTTTAGTGTTTTATATAAGATATAAACACACGGAGGAACAATCAGACTTTAGACATGAAATAGAAGGCCATTCACACGGCTCATCTGACTTTGATGAAGACTTTATTACAGAGGAATACACAGGGTTGAATGAGCTACTGGAAGACCAGTCCCAGGAAAGCTGAATAATTCTAACTTGTTGGAGAAGAGGAAGAAGATGGCATTATCTGAGACATAAGAACTGGATATCCAAAGGCAGCTGATGTCTCAGTGATAGAGCACCGAGCAGAAAAGATGAGGGAAAGAATGGCTGAAGGATCGCCTGACTTCCTGTTTGTTTTCAACTGTTGTCTCCTATTGGCTGATGCTATGGAAGGGTATCCTGTGGTGATGATCGTCTGGTAAAGCTGTCAACAAGCATCAATCTCTTATGGGAAAGTACGTAGCAGAAAAAGAATGAAGATGTCCCTAAGGGTGACAAAGATGTGGAGAATAAGCTTACTCTTCCTTTGTTTGTTTTTTTATCTTTATATATAGCTAGACTGTAGTCTATTTTGTCCCTTTAGTCCTAATGGATATTTAGATTATTTATAGTTTTTTTTCCTCTTTAAACATGAGGACATTTGGCATCCTTGTTTATAATGTTAATTATGTTCATAATTATACTTATTGCTCTAGGATAGATACGAAGAAGTGATCAGTATTGTCTTCCAAAAATTACCACACAACTTTTCTCACTTCCCATAAATAACTATTATTTGAAGTTAAATATTTCAAGCTTCATAACTATTTAACCCTTAGGTACTTTTTTTTATTTCTAGTGTTTGAGAAATTCTTTTCTTACTTAACACACTCTAGAAAATATTCACCTACTAGATAGGATAGTCTTTGCAACTATCTGCTTAATAGCTGTATGGTCTTGCTGTATGGCTTAATAGCTGTATGGCTTAGCTTCTCTGAACTTTGGATCACTGCAATTAAAACCATGTACTTCTCTGAAGATGACAAAACTAGTGTTTGGCATCATAAACCTAGGCAAGTACATGTGAATGGTGAGATCATAGATCTTAGAGGACTTTACTAAATCAGTATAATTCCTAACTGTATTCTAAATACTTATACCTACAGGTGCGATCACCTCTCATCAAAGAGGCTTTTTTTTTTTCGACAGAGGGAGACCACTTCAGAGAGCCATAGCTGGTTAAATGCAGGGGACAGCTCACTGTGCAGTGCAGGGCCCAGTCCTTACGGAGACATCTAAAACACAATTCCTACACATAAGGCTTGGAGGAACACTGTAGATGAGAGGACAGAAAGATTATACTATCCAGAGGACCAGGAAGTCTGCTGCAAAAGAATGCCTTCTACATATGACAGGAAAAGTAAAATACTTAACTACACCTAGGGTAGAAACACAAAAGGTGCTAGAAAAAAAGAGTGGATAGGGAGAGAAAAAGAATATGTTTTTAGCCAGATTATTTTATTGTTTGAGAACTTCGTAATGCATTTCATGCATATGATGTGTTTACATCAAATCCACCCAGTTCCTTCCCCTTCAACTCATCCCCTATCTCCTTCATCACGATTCCCTCCCAAGATCACATGCTATCTCTTTTTGTTAATTTTTAAACTTAAAATATAATTGCATTGTTTTTGCCCCTTTCTTTTCTCCCTCCAACAGTCCCTATGTACTCCCTTGCTCTCTCTCAAGTTTATGGCTAATATTTCTTTAGTTGTTGTTAAACACAGACATACACACATTCTCTTAAATACATAAATACAGCTTACTCAGCACACTTGTAAAAATTCTTTACTCTTTATTCTTTTAGGGCTCATTATCCAGCTCCCAAACAAATACTAAGAGTCTTATTCTTACTTATGAATGCCTGGCCTTAGCTTGGCTTGTTTCTTGCCAGCTTTTCTTAACTTAAAATGCTTGTTTACATTTTGCCTCTGATCTTTTATCTTGTTCTCGTCTATATACCTCTTTTTCTTACTCCATTGCTGGTTGTGTAGCTGGGTGGTAGACCCTCCAAAGAACAAAGAGTAAAGAGTAAAAACAAGCAACAACAAACAAACAAAAAGAAATCACAACTTGGCACCCATTTGGGGGCTCAAACAATAATCTAGAGCCAGAGAAAGCTGAAAAAGAAAATACACTGCTGCTTTAAGAAGTTCTGCTACAGAGCAGAGCATTAAACAGCCCTTTTCACTTTAAACAGAAGCATAAAAACTCGGTAAAAATTTAACACCTGCCACAGTGCAGGGCAGTGGCATTTGAGAGCTGGGGGTTTGAATGTAGATTTCAGTCAAAGGCATCTCTGAACAGGACAAGAGCTTTAGAATTGGCTCTCACGAACTGAAAAGCAGGCAGAGCCGACTAATAGAGCCATGTGGAGGACCCAGCTGCAGCTTAGCAGTTTAAAATTTTCTCACTCAGTCAAAAATGGCTAAAAGATGCACAGCAAAAGAGGTCCTGAACAATGTGTGTAGACTTAAGAAAGAAAGAACATGGGTATAGACGGTCATAGGAAGAAACGAATAGTTTAAAAATAATAAAGTATTTAAAGAGGTAAATTTATATAAAAGAAGCAATGTAGAAATGGGAAATATGCAGGGAGTCTGAATCCTATATTGAAGTTTTTGAATGCTGATAAGCAAATAGTAGCTACAAGGAGATATGGGATTGAAAGAGGCCCTGATGAAATAAACCAGCCTATGTATTTTAAGAATACCTTAACTTTAAAATGGAAGTTAATAAAATGTCAAATCGAAGTAAAAAATGCTTTGGAGAAGAGGGTTTGCTTTTGTTTCCACAGGAAACAAGAGGCTTTGGATTTGTTACAGATTGATATGAATCAGTTTTGATCTAGGGAGACCTCCTGAAACTTGGTAGGTAATATATATCAACAAAGGTTACTGCTGGTTTTCCCATGACTTGATTATTATCTCAGTTTTTCTCAGGGAGCCCTAAAGATGCCTTTGCCCACAGACAACAGGAAGCAGTCTGGAAAACATGATGCCCACATTCCCAAGAGATGGGGTAGCTGGTCTTTGGTTATTTGGTTGGTTATGGATGTTTGTTATCATTTAGAGGAATATAGTATATTGGTACAAGTTTAAAGTTTTTAGTTAATATATATATATATATATATATATATATATATATATATATATGTTTTTATTCTTTTTTTAAAAGTATTGTACCTATGCAGTTCATTAAAAAATGTAAGGTAAAATTGTAGTTTTTGGCCAGGTGGTGGTGGTGCATGCTTTTATTCCCAGCACTTGGGAGGTAGAGACAGGGCGATATCTGTGAGTTGAAGGCCAGCTTGGTCTATAGTGTGAGTTCCAGGACAGGCTCCAAAGATACAGAGAAACCCTGTCTCAAAAAATTTTCTTGTTTTTGAAAACTGTTATTATAAACTAGGATAATTAAGAAATATAGGTTAGTAGTTATCTACAGCAATCAAATTTGTAGATATGTTAGGTATGTTTTCAAGATCATACAGAGATATATTTTAGATAGATAGATGGTATTAAAACACTTCAAAGACCTATAGAATATGACATTTAAAATGCTTCCTTAGCATTGGGTTTTTCATGATAGTGAGACACATTTGCTTCTGGCAGCACCAATTTACTTCACAGAAGATGATTGGCATCAAAGAAACCCCTCATGGACTTTGGTTTTATTGCAGCAAAGCAAGCCATTTCGAGAAGAAACTGCACTTGACTGGTCTGCCTGGCAATCTGTACAAACTGGACATACAGGGCACACAGGAAAAAGACTCCTGAACTTCGCCAAAACAAGGCAGGAATCTTTTAAGATTCCTGCTTCACAGAAGAGTGCCAGACATTCTGCAGGAAACAGAGGAAAGTGACTGACAAACTTTGCCAATATGAGGTAGAAAGTCTTTCAAATTTCTAGCTTCGTTGAGAAGTCTGCTAGATAATCTAGGCCTGTAGGTTGAAGAAGAATGTTCCAATATCGCAGATGAACTTTGGGTGACTTTCCAGGCAGCAACATGTCTCTTCTGTTAGGTAGTGCATCCTTTTGTGGGATCTTTGATGGGGTTAAAGACTAAATTTGAGTTAATTTTTTCCTTAGTTATGATAGAAAGTAAATTAGTAAAACTTTGGAATCATTACAGTAAGATAGATAATGAAATATTCTCTGAATTTGCTAAATACGAAGGGACTGAATATTGTAAATGTAATTCTTACTCGATAACTGTTTTTGTTGTATACAGTTTTACTTTGTTAAAGTTGAAACCTTTCATTTTAATTTAGACAAAAAGGGAGAGGAGTTATGGAATATTAGTTAAAGTTGTGCTACATTTGTTTGTGCTGTGGAACATTTGTTTAGTGATGCAAAGGTATGTTGCATTTTTTTATTTTGTATTTAACTCTGTGAAACTGTGTTACTTTGACTATCTAAAACACCTGATTGGTTTAATAAAGAGCTGAATGGCTGATGGATAGGTAGGGCTGTCAGGCAGAGAGAATAAACAGAAAGAGAATTTTGGAGAGAGGAAATTGAGGAACAAGAGAAAGAGGGGGAGAGAAGTACATCAGGCACCAGCCACCCAGCTACACAGCAAGTCACAGAGTAAGAAGTAAAAAAAGGTATATGGAGAATGATAAAAGTTTGGGG